AAGCTGTGCGCCATTGGCCCCTCGGGGTTTCTCAATTATCAAGCATTACCCCTTTGGCATAATATATCAAATTTTGGCATGAATAATGAAGGTCACATTACGTAATAGAGCACCAAGATGTGTTTTTAGTGGCCTTATTGTTCTCTGCAACTTGGAAAGAGCCTGATGGCATCTTAGAATCTAATATTTCTTAGGCAGTACTTTATGTTTCGTGACTGTTCTCCACTTAGTGCCTGAAGTGTTGATTTATTGAGCTAGATCTTATAAAATGTAGGGTATCGAATTAGATGGATATTCTTTTTATTTTATTTTAAATTACGGTGGTTTCCACGCCAATTAGTGTACACCTTGACTATACTACCGGGTACCTGCTATCTCCCGCCCATACAAATAGGAGGTTATTCTGCCTGCCAGATTTAAGCAGATGTGAAGAAATCACCTAGTTTTTTTTGTCTCCGCTGGGTTTTGAACCTAAGACCTCAGGGTTCTCAACTAGGCCGGTGGAAGAATGGATATTCTACTAGCTCTTCTCGCATGTGACCATGCATCAATCTTCAAGTGGGGCATGTATTAATTTTAGAAAACTGCTTCGAACCCATTCAAGCGAAATGACTATTGCTAAAGGATGTCTCTAGTAACATCTGACTGTGCAAGTTGTGCAGGTATCCTTAGATGTTATGTTGGTTCTTTCTAGTCAATGTCATTTATTTTGTGTTTTCTCTTCTTGCTCCATACTTCTAGAGGGAGGGGATATGGGGTCCTGTTATGTTTTTCTAAGTTGTAAATTTCGGTCCTTGTCTATATTTTGATCAGGCTTGTTAGTTGAAGTTCCTACAAAATGATTATGGTTTAAGTCAGTCTTTTTCTTTGTTCATGTTCAATTTTCTCATCTGATATGTGTTATATTTTCAGGATGCAGCGTAAGAAGGGTCAGTTTACATCTTCAAAGTCAATATCTGACGAAGCAGGTTCGTCATCTGCAGATTGGAATGAAGGCTCTGGTCAAGAAGAGCAGGAAACATCGTGAGTTTCCAACTTCTGTAGTTCTGTAGTAGTTGCTTTTCCTTTTTCAACTTATAATATGTTTCCCGTCCCCACAAATTCCCCCTACCTAGGAGCAAACTGTGGCATTTCCCACTTTTGCTCCCTTAGTGACTTAAACACTCTGACTTCATGGTTGGAGGTGGAGGGCCTTACTACTAGGCTATACCTCCCTTGTCTGTAGTTATTCTGTGTTTGGTCATTGAATTTGATGTAAATTCCTCTGGTTCATTTTACATAAGAGGATTGAACTTTAGATAGTGTCAGAGTTCAGAGGTTACTGATCACATTATATACAGTTGACATCATTCTAAGATGTTTCTCTTTCCATATCTCAAAAGATGTAGGCATTGCGGTATTAGTTCGAAATCCACTCCTATGATGCGTCGTGGACCAGCTGGGCCAAGGTCTCTTTGTAATGCATGTGGACTCAAGTGGGCCAATAAGGTTAGTATTGAGTTGAAAATTGTGCCCATATGGTTCTGCACAAAGAGCATCCATTGATGACTAGGATATCATGTGTGCTTCAATGGTTAAGGGGAAAAAAGATTCTGCTTAAGTGTTCAAAAGTGCTTTTTATCTCTTTCAATTGAAACAAAAATATTTTTGCTCAATAGTGTCCACATGAGAGCCAACAGAGTCGCATCCCCTGATCCATTTTTAAGCTTTCCCTCCCAAAACTTTCACACTAATAGCATGTTCTTATCTATCCCTGCAACACCTGCTGAAGTCCGAGTATCTTTCTCAGTAAACAGTAAACATCGTACATTTATGTTCCTAGTAACTTTGTAAAAAAGAAACAATAACCTTTCTATCTTGTTGTGCATACAGTTTTTCTTTTCGTGTTGGCAATTGAATATGATTCTTTTCCCATAGCTGTACTTTGCTTCTCCTGTCCGTTGTGTGCAGGATAAAAAAGAAACCTATTGCCTTTTTTGTCATCAAGATCCCATTACGGCTGTTGTTTTGGATGATTAACTTCATAATTAACATGATGCATACTTGGCCAGTTAAACATCATTATCAGCTTTTACTTTCAATGAAATAAATCATTTCTTGGTCAATGTTTGAAAATAGAGCGCCGGTACAGTCTAACATAAGATAATAACACAAACCTTAATGTTAACCCTTAAAAAAGATTGAAATAAGCAAGCAAATTCCTTACTATTTGTAAAAAAGAGCTCAAATATGTTTACCTACCTTATCAAATAAAAAAAAAAAAGGAGCTCAAATATGACCTCTACTTTGTGTTAGAAGGTGTAAATTAAGTTATATTACAACTCAAGCTCCAGGAGATTATTTTCATCCGAGTTAATGAGTGATATTAATTATTATTCTACAGGTATTCTGGAATTATTGCTCTACCATATTCATTTTTGTTTGAACTCCTACTTACAAAAGTTGAATAATGGACGTCTATCTGAGCAATGAAATTTTTACCCCAACTCTTGTCTTCTTTTTTCTTCTTTTGCCATTTGAAACGTAAGAAGTACTACCTTTTGGATATTTGCTTCAATATAACCATCTGTCAGCTCGCCATTTGGTCTTCTGGTATTGATTATCCTGATATGGGATGGATTAGTAGCCACAGCATGTTTTTTTACATTGATATCTGATAGAGTTAATGAAACACTATTCTTTTTGCTTTTCACATCACATTGCTCTTCACCTTCTTTGTCAAGTTAAAAGAAAATTTTCAATCTCGTCGTTAAACAGTCATTTCCATCAATTGGAATTCGTTAAATGGTTTTGATCAGTGGGAATACTGCTTTACTCCCCTTCTATTCATCTCGGCAGGGAATTTTAAGAGATCTTTCTAAAGTTCCAACTCCTGGACCTCAGGATCAAACTGCAAAATCTGGTGAACAGGTACATTATCTCCACTTCTTTTAGAAAAAATAAATTTTTTCATCCTGGGATAATTGACTTTGTAGAACTTTATCAAAAAGAAAAGATTGCTTCTTTAGTTTATTTACTAAAGCTCAATTTGTGTTGTAAAATTCTCTCCGCTAGAGCAATGGTGAACCTAATGGCTCGGACGCCATGGCTGCTGCTGCTATCATCACTCCAGACGGTGACAACACAGTGGTGACTGCTGAACGGTGATGGAGAAATCCTTCTTGAAGTGAGATGGATAATTGAGTTTCATCTGTTGTACTATCTGCCAAAATTAGATTGTACATAGTAAATTATTGTACTCTTAGGCATCCAACATTGTTTCTCAGAGTTTTAGTGTTTTATCCTGGTGTTCAACTGTAATTTAGATCTGGAATTTGTATCACAAATCGAGAACCTCAGTAAGAAAGATCTGGGCTTACTTTAATCTGCTTTACTTCAGTTTTGTAAAAATAGTACGGGCTAGCCAGTTTTCGAACTAGTCATTCAAAAATAGCAGCGTTTGCAAAGTCATTAAAAAATAGCCACTATTTAATATATTGGAGATCGGTGCACCTGTGTATGAACTTCCAGCATATTATGTTGGAACTCCAACACGCGCAAAGTTCCAGTATAATATACAGGAGATTGGAGCACCGATATGTTATACTGGAGTATTTTTTTGAATTTTGAACAGTGTTTTCGTTCAGATTTATCTTTACGTGAAATTTTTTTCGAATTTCTCTCGTTTTGTTTCCTTAAAATATATTTTAGGAAAAATGACACTGTATAGTCATTGTAAAATAATAGCCGAATAAATATATAAAATATATATATATATATATATATATATATATATATATATATTATGTATGTTATATATAAAAATTTTACAATTTTTATATACTTTTTCGGCTATCAAATGTAAATAGTTTCTGACGTGGACTAAAAGTGATAATACCTCAAAATTTTATTATAATTTGAATTTCATTGCGTTCTAGTTGGGTGAATCTGCTGCAGACGGACTTTTCGTTCTCCTCATTGGTTCGAAGAGTTGATTATCTACAAAAATCATTCATTAGTGGAGAGAATTATGAGTTATTGATGCCAAAATTACACATTCGTGGGAAATAAAAATAAAAATGGAAGTGTAAATATTAGTGTTTTCCTCCTTGCAAGTATCCGAGTTTTCTCATATAACTCTACAGGCTCGAAAATATAGATCACATTATTCTGGGTCCACCAATTCAATTATCGACCCCTTGATGTATAAACATTGTTTTGTTTGCTTGAATTTGCTAGTATTTAGTACTTACCAATTTCTCTCCTCTTTTAGAGTTGTTTCTTGATCTCTTCTATATTTAAAAGATATTTAGCGGGTGATGAGGAGTTGAACATTTATCAAACCCCTAAACTATTTTCTCCTTAGATTTTCTATTTTCTAAGTTTGTCATTGTTTTAGTACGATTTGATTTATTTAATTGAGAAAACAAAAGTGATCGAAACTCGAAAGGCTTCCATTGCGTTCAATTGATCTCCTTGATCTTTTCGTACTTCAGAAAAAAATAATAAGACACAACGACATGCTAATTCTTTTGTTTGGTTATTATTTCTCTTTTGAATTTTTTTACCTGAGATCTGATAGATAGAGAAATACTCCGATTAAAGCATTTTTTTGTAAACTATATTTACCTGACATAATTTACGTGACAATTTTGGATTTTCAACATTCATATTATGACTTTGATTAACATTTTAAAATATATTATTGACATGAGAAGAATTCTGATTTATAATACTTTTTGTGTGGTTTTTTATATTAAAAATTTTAATTTAAGATAATAAATTAATTTAATTACTTCAAAAATTAATCAAATTGACTTTAAAGAAGTATGAAGTACACATAAATTAATATGGAGGGAATAGTACATACCCCTAAAATTCTTAATTCTTCCCTCTTCGGAAAATAAATACTGTGGTCTGTGGGACAAAAATTGAACGCAGTGTAACAAATAGTGTAACACGCTAATCAAGGACCTTTCACGTGACACCATCACACTCCATTACGAACAATTTTTGTAAAGTTCCTCCCTCCTTAATTCCTATCCATTTTTAGCTATAAAAAAAAAAGAGCAAATTACTACGTACTATTTCTCCAGTTGAGGATTCTTCGCTTAATCTGCAATTCTAATCAACCTTTCCAGATTCTGATAAAAATTGATTTTCTTCAACTGATACAAATTTAATTAGGGTTAGGGTTTTTCATATGCAGAAGTATATATAAATGGAAGCGGCAAATACGAGGGTAATAGGGTTTGAGGAGGAGTATATGAATGTAGCAATTCGAGTGGATGAATATGGAGGTGGAGGATTTGATGCTGATGATATCAGCGGTGGCTGTGAGAGTAGCGGTACTGAAGAATTGCAACACGTGTGCTCCTCTGTGCCGCCTCTTGCTGCTAGCCCTGTAGTAGATACCGACGGCAGAGTTTTAGTGTCTATGCCTATGCCCTCGCGGAGGACTAGTGAGCTTACTATTTCTTTCGAAGGCCAAGTCTATGTATTCCCTGCTGTTACTCCTGATAAGGTTCGATGTTGATATCATGATCAATTGTTTGTAATTGCATTATGTTTTAAACTTAATTTATAATTGATGCATGTACAAGTCGATTTGTGTTTACCTATGTCATTAGCGGAGCCAGCAATTTATACAAGGGATGTTGCAATTGGGATTTGAACCTGTGACTTAAAGCAATTTTTGAACCCCCTTTGCACTTCACTGGCCTATGTGGTGACAATTGAATTAAGGGAATGTTTAATGATTTTTGTGAATGTGAACTTTCATAGGTGCAAGCAGTACTGCTATTATTAGGAGGGTCTGATATGGCTAGTTATGTACCTAGCTCACATTCTCTTGCCCTGCAAACTATTAAGGTGCATTTTTTTTTAGTTTAGTTGGAGCTTGTTTTCAATTTAAGTGTGATCCAACCAGAGCTTACTGAGGCTGTCAATGTTTACTAATTTTTGGGTTATGTTGTAGAGTGTTGATAATGATGCCCCCACCAGGCCAAATATTTCTCGGAGAATCGCATCTCTGATTAGATTCCGTGAGAAGAGAAAAGAGAGATGCTTTGAGAAAAAAGTCCGTTACACTTGCCGGAAAGAAGTTGCACAGAGGTGAGGTGAAGTTTGTGACCTTTTTTTTCCCTTCACTCCGTTTAGTGATTGGTATATTAAGAGAATCATTGAGGAGCATTTTTCTTCTTTGATTGGTTTCAGTTAATGTGATAATTAACAAATTCTCTTTAGGGCCCACTTTAACGTGTGCGCAAATATTTGAAGTAGACTAGTATAAATGAAAATGGAAAATACATGTTTGAAGTAGACAGATCTAAAAGTACTGAGCTGTATAATGGTACAATAAAGTAAATATATTTCTTAAAAAGTATTTTTTAGCTGCTAAAACCTTTTTAGCTATTTGTTTGGATTCATTGGAAACTATTTTCATTCAAATTCAAGATTTCCTAATGAGGTTCATTATGCAAGCTTTTAACTGTTTTAGTTGCTCTGTTTATAGGATGCATCGTAAAAATGGGCAATTTGCCTCTTTAAAAGATGGTGAAAAGACGTATGCTGGCAATATTGATTCTGGTGACAGCATTCCTCATCCTGAACCTACGTGAGTATGGACCATGTTCCTTACTTCTGACAGCTTATACCAGCAGCATCTCTGTCAAGAATCAGTTGCTCTATTTTTCTCTACTTTAGGCTATGCTTTGTGTTCTTGTATTTTGAGGGCCTTGGAACTGACTTCCTCCACATCTGATTTTGGTGTAAGAATGGCTGTTGTTGCATGAAATAAAGGCTTTCATTCAGAGGTAGCAAAGCTGTAGCAGTGTGATCTAAGATTCTGCATTCATATTCCGCTTAATTGTCCTGCTGTCTCTTTATGTCACTGTGCTGATTTAAGATTCTGCATTCATATTTGGCTCACTATTCCTGCAGTCTCATTATGTCACTGGGTTGGGATTTTGCCTCTTCTTTTTTCCTTCTAATCTGCATTTACTGCCCTTTGAACTTACAGACTAAGAAGATGTCAACACTGTGGTATTAGTGAAAGTGAGACACCTGCAATGCGGCGGGGCCCATCAGGCCCTAGAACCCTCTGCAATGCCTGTGGGCTTATGTGGGCGAACAAGGTATTGCACAGTGGATCTGCTTGTTCTTTCTGCCCCTCCCCCCCCCCCCCCCAACCCCCCAACCCCCAACCCCCACCAAAAAAAACAAGATTTCTCAAACACACACTTCTTATGCTTTCCTCTTTTAATCACAGAGGTTAACTTTGTCTATAGTAATTATCGTTAATATTTAACTCTGCTGACATTCAGTTTATGATCATGAATTACTGATTCAACTGCCAGTCATGCAATTACGTTAATTTCCTGTCTTGACCAAGTTTCTCAAGGAAATAATCAACATCAATGATAACCAGATTCTTGGGTTAAGAGTTAACCTAATGATTTGGACCTTTGGTTGATCTTTACTTGCACTGCCATTTTAGTCTTATGGCAAACTGCAAACATAATAAAGGCTTACTTAGTGTTATTGCTTTGAAAATAATGGATCGCGAACCAAGCATGTCATTTACATGGTTTCTGTTGATTGTCCATTCTTGGATATGTTTGGATTGTGTGTTTTATCTTTCTAGATGCTCAGAATAAATGCATGCTTAAATTTGATGATTCTTTTGTTCATTTATTTATTTTTGAATTGTATTACCCATCTGTTTGCTCTTGTTACTTATTTTGCTATTCACCTTTTGTTTTTGTCCATCTGAAGGGTATGTTAAGAGATATTACAAAGGGAGGGAGACGTACACCCTTTGACAAAAGTGAGCCAGTAAGTAAACTGAGAACAAGTAACACTTCCCTCTTACAGGATCAGTTTAATGTACACTGTCAGTGGTAGACTATTTGAGGATTAATGCTCATGGACCATGCTGCTTCATTAAGTATGAATACAGGAGGCCC